CAGGAATCCAAATCCCTCAAAAACATTCCTGCAAACCAAACGCACCCTAAGAATACTTCATCATTACCTTTTATAAAAAAAATATTATATTATTAAATTTGAAATAAATTACATCTTTATCATTAAAGCTAAATAAATTAAATTATAATTAAAAATTAAAGTAAACAAATTATATACAAAAAAAACTTTCAACATCAAAATACTCCATAAATTTGACAAACAACTGAAAACATTTTCACTTTCTCAATATCACATAAATTGTATTATAAAATCAACAGAGATAAAAAAAAAAGACATACATTAAAACCAATATGTAAGATACTGTTTACTGCATTGCACAAATACAATATAACATCAACTAAGGGAGCGTTTAGCAAACGCTTACTTGGATAAGTGAACATCAAGGCCCTGTTTGTTTTTCTAAAAAATCACTTAATTGCCTCTTAAGTCTGACCGATTCAGACCTAGAGGAATTAAGTGCGTTTGTTTTTTTTATAAATTAAGTGCTGAAAATGTCTCATTTTGTCTGAATCGGTTAGATGTAAATTTAACTCTGAAAACCTCTTAATTTGATTCCCCTTCCTCGTCGCTCTAACCTCTCCATCGCCGCCTGCACTCAAAAGCCCCGATTTCTCCATCGCTGTTGCTGGAATCATTCATCTCTCGATCGGTCTCCACTCGCTCATCTCCAGTCGGTCTCCATCGCCGCCTGCACTCTCAAGCCCTCGATTTCTCCAGTCGGTCGCTCATCTCCAGTCGATTTCTCCATCGCCGCCTGTGTTCTTCTTTAATGGATTTGGGATATATATATATATATATATATGTGTGTGTGTGTGTGTGTGTGTGTGTATATATATATATAGTTGGATCTTGCTTCATATTGAAAAACAGGTTCAAATGGATGGGTATGAGAGATAGTAAATACAGATTAAAGTAGTGTGATACATGGTGGTAGATCTTTAACTAGGAAGARGATGCTAGTTRGAATATTTGAGCATGCTTAAAGGGTTTTGGTTTACCTGTGCAATCTCAAAGCCACGGCCCTCCCCCAACAGTTTATGATGCATATGAGCTAAAGATTGTTATTACCTGTGATTGATCAACTGTATAACTGATTGGGTAATGGTTTATGATTACACAATTACATATCACGTTTATATTTGTCAAGTATAGTAGAAGAGATCATAGTTCCTACATCATTGGTGCGGCAAAAACAATGGTTTAATTATATGGCAGTTTACAAATGGTTTAAATGATTGGATATTTCAGTTAAGTTTAATTGAAATGAATTGATTCAGATTTCAGACTTCAGAAGTTTGTCAGTTTACAAAAACAAACAGTCTGACTAATTCAGATTTCAGACTTCAGCACCACTGCTTAAAATTCAGAAGTGAATTCAGACTTCAGACTTCAGCACCTCTTAAAAAACAAACGCCACCCAAGTCATTTTATCTTACGGGATGAATATGGTAAAGATCAAGAATTTTACCCGGTAAGAGCGAGACAAGAACCAAGAGTCTTACCCGGCAAGTGAAGGCGACGACTCTTACCACGGTAAGCGCTTACCGGGTAAATTATTGCATACGATACCGTTTTGATGAACTAAAATCTTATCCGATAAGTAAATGATAATGTTAAATTTACCAATAAACATTTACCGAGTAAATATTTAATAAACGAGCCCGAAAATAAATATAGAATGCAAGAAAGGTAGTGTACAATTAATTGACTCCGTGAAGGGGAGTCTTTGTCAATGGGAGTTCTTCCAATAAAAAAATGGTTGAAAAATCACAAGCCCCACCAACCTATCAAAACAATTACTAATCCAACCAATAAATATGCTTTTAAATTTTTATTAATCTGAATATTCAATCCGTTATACAAGCCAACTAATTTCAGGGTAACCACCCATTTTACGGATAATCCAGAGTTAACATATTTGAACCTATATGATCACAAGGAAATTTTTATTCCTTCTTGGATTCGAACTTAGGACCTCCAGACACTTTTAACATTTGGAGCCCAAGCTCAAACTAATCGGACACCATCCTTGTGTTTTTAAATATACTCTTTTCTACTTGTTAAATGTTCCTTACACCTAATCAAGATCATATATATATATATATATATATATATATATAGAGAGAGAGAGAGAGAGAGAGAGGATGTGAGTTATTATGCAACTCTTTACATTTGTGCAACCAATACAACCCAATCTTAACCGTCCATTTTATTTGATGAATATATGATTCCATAAAAGTTTTGATTGTTTCCTAATATAAAGTATTGATCATAGTTAATAAACCCTAATCATCTTCCATAAATATTCAAATAATAATAAATAAACTCTCATTATTTCCATAAATATCTCAATTGATTGAGTTGTATTGATTGTACAAATATGATGGATTGCATTTGAAATGTCCTCTCTCTCTCTCTCTCTCTCTCTCTATATATATATATATATATATATATATTACATTTTCAATGTATGATTTAATCTTGTTTCATATATATATTTAGATTTTTTTGAAATAACTAATTGTAGATGTGCATGTGAAACCTCAATAATTTCTCATGCAACCATAGTGGGGTCCTTCCAACTCTTTATCCTTTTGTTCTCATGCCACCCTCCAACTCCCCAAAGATTCTCTCAATGTCTCTTCTTCTTCTCCCTGTCTTCCTCCTTTCCCTTCTCAGTTTACATGCACCACCACCGGCCACCGCCACCGCCACCGCCATTGCTGCCGCCACCGGTGTTCATGGATATGGAGGAGATAAGCAAGTTCTCACTTTGAACAAATTCAAGCAGGCTACACAACTACAAACTAATACACCCAATTGCTTCCCTCAAAGATCAAGTTAGTACTTATAGTTTCTCTTTAACTTTTTGGCTTTATAATATATTTTCTTGAATCTGTATCTGTGGAACCGCGTTAGATTATTCTGTAAAAGAATTATCTAGAAAGGAGGTTCCGACATATATTAAGAAGAAATGGTCCAAATCTAACTCGTCGAATTCTACCTTCATGAAAAGAAACCTTTCCTCGGGGATTAAATTCTAAATTGGAATAAAATTCAGGATAAACGCATTTGTTGGAGTTCCATATCTGCTAGACTTGAATCATATCCCCTAGATATATGTTAGAACTTCATTTTTTCCACAAGTGTTTTTTTGAGAATAATCTAATGGGGTTCTATATATTTTTACATGGTATCAAAACAAAGGTCAATCACTCTAGATACTCGATGCTTTGAGACAATTTATGCCAGGCTAGCCTCTGTTAGAAGGGGTATGTTGAAGTCTCAAATTGACTTGTATCATTTCTCAATATATATATATATATATATATATATATATAGAGAGAGAGAGAGAGAGAGACTTAAGATCTTGTGAGACGAGACTGTTTTCACAATGTTTTGCCGTGAAGTTTCAATGTTATTTTGTGGCATCATGGGTCTCATGAAAATAACTGGTCTCACATGAATCCTATATATACACATACATACATAGAGGAACGATCAAATACAAACCACCCAATTTGTACAAATCGTGCAAACCATCCTCATCCGTCGATTTCATTGTTTAATCTTATGAAATTTTTTCATGAAATTGTTTCATATAATACTTTTTTTGATGAAGTTATTTCATATATGGTTATAAAATTGTTTCATATAATACTTAATGAAACTGTTTCATGTATTTCTCTAAAATTAAAATAATAAAGATGACAATATCCATGATTAACACCGTGCACAATAAAAATGATTAATCAACCTCTCATAAATACAAAAAAATGAACAAAATGAAAAATTATGATTGGTTGAATGAGTTTTGCACGGTTTGTACACATTTGGGTGGTTTGCATTTGATCGCTCATCTATATATATATATTTATATATTTATTGGAACCTCCTTTCTCTCCTCAAAAGCTATTATAAAAAATAATTTAATAAGATTCCACATATGAGTATTGCTATAATAGTCTTTCTTTAAGAATAGAACTATTTCTAGTAATTAGTGCTTTAAAGAAAATGTAACTGGTTATCTTGTTTTTCTGGAACAGAAAAGAGTGCAACTATATTAGAATTGTATCACAGGGATTACTGTTCTAGACCCAGATCAGATTGGAACCAGAGATTCCTAGAACACCTACTTTCGGATCAAATTCGAGTCCGTTCGCTACAATCTCGGATCAAGATCGCGTTTTCTAAGGGATCCGATCAAGAACTTTCACAAGCCCAGATCCCGATCACTTCTGGAGCCAAACTCCAGACTCTCAACTACATTACGACCATCCGATTGGGCGGTCGCAACGTGACGCTGATCGTCGATACGGGAAGCGACATAACCTGGGTCCAATGCCAACCGTGCGGTTCTTGTTATAATCAACAAGAACCGCTTTTTAACCCCTCCGAATCTCCTTCATATAAACCCATCTTTTGCAAGTCCACAACTTGCCAAAATCTAGAATACGCCACTGGTAAATCGGGCATTTGTGGGTTTAACTCGACAAATTGTAACTATTATGTTAGCTACGGAGATGGATCATACACACAAGGTGATCTAGCTAGCGACGATCTCGTAATCGGGACCGTGCCGATCAAAGGTTTTGTGTTCGGTTGTGGTCGGGTTAATTCAGGGTTGTTTGGGGGAGCTTCGGGTCTTATGGGGCTCGGAAGAAGTCTTCTTTCGTTGGTTTCTCAAACTACCGACGTTTTCGGAGGGATTTTCTCCTATTGTTTACCTTCAGCGACGGATTCCGGGTCGGGTTCGCTAATTCTAGGGAACGGAACTTCGGACTACAAGAATTTCAGCCCGATTTCTTATACTAACATGCTATCCAACCCAATGATGCCCACTTTTTACTTTCTTAACCTCACTGGAATCAGCATCGGAGGGGTCTCGTTACAAGATCCGAGTTTTGGTAAAAAGGAATTGCTAATAGATTCAGGAACGGTAATCACTCGGCTTCCTCCTTCGATCTATGACGTTTTTAAGTCCGAATTCCTGAATCAGTTTTCGGGCTTTCCTAAGGCTCCAGCCTTTTCGATCTTGGATACTTGCTTCAATCTATCTGGCTACAAAGAAGTCGAGATACCTACAATCAAGATGCATTTTACGAATGATGTGAAGTTCACTATTGATGTTAGCGGAATTCTCTATTTCGCAAAGTCTGATGCGTCTCAAGTTTGTTTAGCGCTAGCGGGTTTATCGGATGAAGAGGAGATCGGTATTATCGGGAATTACCAGCAAAAAAACACAAGGGTTGTGTATAACACCAAGGAACTTACACTTGGATTTGCTAAAGAAACTTGCAGTTCAGATTAAAATTGCAGAAAAGGAAAAGGGTGATTCATAATTGTTGTGAATATTATATCATTCAAAGAATTTTTAAGTATTTTGGGGTGATCAATGATGGTATAGATTATATGAATGCAATTTATGATTTCTGAATGTGTTACTTACGGCCTGTTTAATAAGCTTAATGGGACTCACAACTTATTCTATTAGCTACACATGAATGTTTAGTAGTGGCTTAATGATATAGAAAGTGGCTTATTTAGTAAGATTACAGGAGGAGTTGTATGCAGAAAGCCAAGTTTTTTCCAAACCTATCTTTCCCAATTAAAAAACATGCTTATTTCATCTATGAAAAAACCCTCCAAACAAAAACCTCCGTGATCTATACAGACAGATTAATCTACACAGACAACTTTATCCATACAGGACTTGTGAATCTTGCCACATATTCTATACGAATACCAACCAAACAACTAACTAACTAACCATATTCTATATTCTTTAATGGAAAACCAACCAAACAGTCCCAAATCTTGTGACATATTATATATTTTACCAAGAAATGTGACAGTATATTCGATTTCAGAAGTTAACAATGGAAAAGAATAGAGATTAATCAAATACAATTGCACAGAAAAAGGGAATCTTCAGAGCTGTAGCATACATAACCAAGTACAACAAAAGGGGCCTACCTGGAATTTCTCGGTTCAGGAGCTTGTGATTCGATGGTACTATCCCGAAAACAAGACATAAGTTGCAGAGACAAACATTCTGTCTCATTCACTGGAACATAGCGAAAAGAGTTTGAACCTGTGTAAACAAGAACAAGTACTTAGCAGAACATTTGGGGCTAGAAAGATCATTTCCATAAAAAGAGAGAGATGAATCAAGATTTTATCATGCACATACCATCCCTTTGAACCACCCCCAATCCTAATTCAATCCATTTTTCATAAAAATGTCTGGTCTCTGAAATCAAATTCAGAAAACAGTGAAATCTGATCTGAACACCTTCTAGTTCTGCTGATTAGTTAGTTTTACTTCACTTGTGTTGTGCAAAATTTGATTGGAGATGAGGAATTGGGAATTTTACATGGAGAATTGGTTCGAAGTCGGTTCTTCTGAACAGATATTGTAAGATCTCACTTTGGCTGAACAAAAGGTGGTGTATAGGAGCTTGATACCTCATCTATCAGACGCGTTTTAAAACCGTGAGTACAGGTGTGTGGACAAAGCGAATAATATCTGGTACAGTTAGCCTCGGATGTTACTGTTGTGCGTATGGAATCAATCAGGATACAAGTATAATTGTGTATATTTAGAAGTTAAATTCGAGGTATGATTTCGTTTGGTTCTTGTGAAAAACTCAGAATCAGAAAGAGCGCTGAACGTTTTCAAATTGATTTTTTTTTTGTAAAAACACAACTTGAACAGTTCTAGATCAAGTTCATTTCAGTATCAGATATAAACATGAAATGATTATTGTAGAACCCTAGAAAAAACTGAACACCATAATTTTCATTAATATGAATGAGATTCTGTGAAATTACTAGACAGAAATTGGTTTTCATATTATGAAAAGTACGAACGATGATCGTAATGAGTAAATTTTACCAGCAAAAATGATCGATACGCCTCCTCGATCCAAAAAATGCGAAAACAGAAAATCAACAACCACCAAATGACATTATACTTCGAATTTAGCTTCTAACAATGCACAATCGTACTTACATCCTGATCGATTTCATACGTACAACAGTAAATCTGTTCAGAAGATCAGATTTTCGAACCAATTTATAGTTCTCCACAATCAAGTTTTGCACTGAAATAAAACTAACCTCATCAGCGGAACTAGAAGGTTTCCAGATCAGATTTCACTGTTTTTTGCATCTGATTTCAGAGATTCAAAACCTTTATGTGAAAAATGGATTGAATTAAGATTGGGGTGGTTGCAAAGGACGGTATGTGCATGATAAAGTAGTTGTTAAACCTAAGTTCTTGAAAACATGGTGGATTAATTAATACTTTGTGTATAAACAATTGTGCCATCAATAAGTTTAGAGCATTGATTCTTGAAATGCATGCTGAGTTTTAAATTGTGGATCGACATCTTTTAATTGGTAGGGTTTTGGAATCCTTTTCGTTCGACGTTTTGATGACGGATATGGTCTATCATGTCATCTCAAGATCGAGACGCAGAGTCGTAAGACCATGCATTGGAACGACGTCTGTCCAGTGTCGGAAGGTCAAGAAAGTTGGTAACATTGCATTGATCGGGGGCGTTCGTAGTGACCTTTGGATAAAAATCCCGAAATATCATCGTCTTTTTGTGGTTAAATATCTTTCTTTCTGATGGATTTCTGAGCGTGCAAAGGTCTTCAGTGGACGGAATCGTGTGGGGGTCAAGGCTTGACGGTTAAGCCTTTCAACTCGTTTTAAGAGTTGCTTCTCGTTGATTCGGTGGCTCTTGTTTTGGGGCTTTTGGTCGGTTTTCAGTTGTTTCCTCCTGTTTGGTTGTTCCATTAGCGTTGGTTTTCTTTGTTTTGCTTTCGTCTGTTGTATTCGTTTGCTCGGATTGTCGGTGTCTTATGTGACGTTAGTTGCTTTGCTTTTTTTCACTTTGTGCTCAGACGTTCTTGGTGGTTGTTTGGTTCGTGCTGTCTCTGCGTTTTGCAGAAGTTTTGTTTTTACTAAATTTGTCGGCATTTCAAGAAAAAAAATCAAAATTTATGTAAAATGTTTTCTTTCAAAAAAATTGTAGAAAATTTCTTCCTTCCGAGAGACGAACATGGCTCATACTCGAGAAATGCTCGTTCTTGAAACCGTTGAAGTCTTCTTGTTAAGATATCTCCAATCCAACCACTAAAAAAGTAAATTAAAAACACCAAGGGGGTGTTTGAGATTGCTTATAAAAATAACTTATTGACTTATTCCGATCTGACACCGGCAATAAGCACTTTTGAGTGTTTGGATAAACAGCTTATACCAGTGCCAACCCGGTAATAAAGAGTTTTTGAAGAAGTTAAATCATTATAGCTTACAATAAGTTGATAAAGACTTTTGTAGAAAAGCACAAGTTATTTAAAATAAGCAATCCCAAACACCCCCTAAAAATGGTTGATACATTGAACATTAAAAAATAATCAACTCGAAGCACACACTAAAGAACCAATAGATAACTAGTGAGAATTCATGTAGAAACTGTAAATATTATAAGAACCTTGAGAACTAAATATTTATGAATTATTTACAATGAATATACCTAAATATTCATAAATATTATTCATCATGAATATAATATAATGTATGTCTATTATTCCTGATAAATATCATGAACATTGCCTCAATATTCATTTATGGCTTTATGCATGAGGTTGGATGTCTAAGAAGAGATCTTCACCCTTGGATTAATCCTAATTGAATGTCTACACTAATGAAATGCACCCTGATACACCAGATCAATTCCCTTCTAAATCACAATTCATAGATGAACATGTGATCAAAAATGATCAAGGGTTCAGATATTTCTTACACTTCTCACCATGACTTCCCTTCTCACATGATCCCTCACCTTATGCATGAATAATTAATCGTCAAGATTTCTAAGTATTTACATTTCCTATACTAAACAACTATAGATCAATTCTTATCAATCAAAACACCAAATAAATAACCATAGATCATACTTTATATAATAACTGTCGATACAAATAGAGATGCATAAAAAAGCACAAGCCTGGCTCAAACCAGGTCCAACCCGGTCCAGGTCAAGCCTCAAAGCTTGATCAAGCCGAAATTTTTGGGCCAAGTCGGGTCTGTCCTGGTCTGAAAGAGCCCAACCTAAAAAAGCCCACTTAAGCCCAAAAACCCCAGTCTGAATAAGCCCAATCAGGCCCTTTTCAACCCTTCCCTAAAAAAGCCCAGACCGAGGTTTTTGGGCTTAAATGGGCTTTTTTAGGTTGGGCTCTTTCGGACCTGGACAGACCCGTCCCGACCCTTCCCTAAAAAGCCCAAGCCTTCTTTATTTGCTGAAAACAAGCCCGACCCAGACCCAAGCCCAAAAAGCCCGGATATTGTGCATCTCTAGATACAATATAGTTTCTTCACAATATTCCCACACTTTTCTGCTGCAAATCAACAAAAAGAACCCCAAAAAGTCTTCACAATTTCTAAAATCCTAAAAAGAAAACATAGTAAATAACCCATAAACCTTTACCTCTAGATTTCTTCAAACCCTAAAAAAACTTGAGTTTTCCTTTGGCAACTGATTCTTTGGCATGTTGAACATGACAAAATGCCTTCTGACTCCCTGTTAAGCCTGAACACACATCATTGCCCCCTAAAGTAATGGCAAAATACAGATAAACGGTGCACAAAAAAGCAAGGAGGACGAGGGCGGTTAATAAGAAGCGGTGCCGCCTGATTACGGTCGAGAAGTTGCCCAATTCATTTCCCGTTGTGTAATTCTTTCGGGATGAAGTTGAAGAAAATGCCGTTTGTTGAGTCCTCCGGTGCGGTGAAGTGATCACGCCATCTAGCGCCATAGTTTTATGCAATTTGGGGGTTCAATCTCAAAGCGACCGCATAATCTGCAGCAACTTTAGTTCAAGATGTGATCAACTTTTGAAATTGAGAAGGTCTAAAAAAGAAAATAAGATTTGGATTGAGAAATGAGTAATGGAATTAGCAGGATGAAGATGAGTAATCAGTGGACATGATTCAAGATTGTAACAGAACAGCCAGTGTGAGGGTATTTTTGGAATTTTTGAAAATTAAAAGCACTAGATTCTATTCATTTTTGGTCTATAATATGTTGATTGTATGGACCCTGTTTATATGGTTTGAAAAGAAAAGAAAAAGACATGATAAGATGGATCCAAAATAAATGCAATGTTTAGCTTCATATATAGTTTATTCGATTAAAGGTTTATTTAGGAACATTAAATATTATATGTGTGTATTCATGATGAATATTATTCATCATGAATATTTTACAGCGTTAATCATTATGAATACTTAAAAAAAATGATTGTTGAGTTCCTAAAATATTTAAGGTTTCTAAATGAACCTCCCTGTGGTTAACTATTTGCTGAACACCTAAAGTTCCCTTCAATAAGAACAAAAAAGAAGAATCTTTGTGAACCAAAATCAATAATACTCCCTCTATCTCGATATAAATGTAGACTCTGAAAAAAACCAAGGGTCTAATTGTTAGCAGCTTAATGAGTTTAATTTGACTTGCAACTTAATCGGTTAGCTATACATGACTGTTTGGCAGTGGCTTAATGATATGGAATGTGGCTTATTCAGTAAGTTTTTGGGGGGAGCGTTATGCAGAAAGTCAAGATTTTTTCCAAACCTGGCCAACTGGCCCTCCTAATTAAAAAACACGAACCTTCCATCTATGAAAAAACCCTCCTAAACAAAAACTTCCACAATCTGCACAAATAACTTTATCCATACATGACTTCATGGAAAACCAACCAAACAACCCCTAAGACGTAGAAATGAGTAATTATTACAGTTTTTAACCAACTAGAAGACTATTTAACCTTAATAATCAAGAAGGAAACAATGAATTTCTCCATCTCATAATTAAATATAAAAGTAGACACTTATTTTGGACATGGAGGGCACGGAGGAATAATATTTTGTAATATAACTAATTGTCAAATGGGTGAATTTGGACCGTGGCCTCGCTCAAATTCGTATATATATCGAGTCTCTTAAACCAAGTGGTTGCAGGTTCAAGACTCATTGTTGACATGAGCGTGTGTTTCTCTTAAAAGAACGTAAATCCCATTGAAAACTTGACCGAAAGGAGAATTTTGCACTTATTTTCGGGCAACCTAAAAAGAAAATGTTGTATTTATTTTGAAACAGAGGAAGTATACTTATTCTATAGTGCATATAAAAAGTCCCTCTCGTCTTTTATTGTAAGGCGTGCATAATACAAGTCCAAAAGTCTTTCACTGTAAGGCGCCCATAATTTGCTGAAAACTAGAAGTAACCGAACCACACAACCCAGTAAATTCCCTGCGAAGTGGGGTTTGGGGAGGGTAAGAAGACCCTTTTCCTAACAAAACTCCCACAAAAGCTACTTTCGGCTTCCCAACCCACCTATCCTAGGATTTCAATGCCTAATTGTCGGCTATCTAACCCCCCCTGACCCACCTGCAACCACTCCCCCGCCACAATGCCCACAGGTCCTAACACAAAATCTGCTATCTTGATCCCACATCTTGACAAACTCCCATCTGAAGTTATATCTTCGGAAATGCCTAAAGTGCCATGTCCTATCCCAGTTGTTCATTCCACGTCCTCCTCGTTTGCCCCTCTTTCTTACTCCCTATATTTACGCTGCCGAAATTTGTCTCCAACGAACGTACCCAAACCACCTGAGTCTTCCCTCTCTCAGTTAATTTATGATAGGCAGCTACGCGCTACTCCTAACTCTATGATGAAGACCTCATTCAGTATTCTGTTCAACAAAGGCTGCAGCATTTATGCCATCTTTAACTTCCTTTCATGCACATTCTTTACTACCCAACACTATGCCCCATAAAACATAGTTAGTTTGAGGGCTACCCTGTAGAAATTTCCCTACAGTTTCAATGATACTTTGTCAAACAACAATCTTGTGGTCGTGGTAGCCCTCCATTTTGCCCACCCTACCTTTTCTGTGGTGTGTAACGTCATCCTCAACCACTCCCTCCTTCAGAATCATGGAGCCTACGTATTTGAAACTGTCCTTTTGGGGGTATCCTATGCTTCCTAATATTGACTCCCCCCAAGCCCGGGGGTGGGGTGGGGTGGGGGTGGGTGGGCAGTTACCCTCCCTACTGAAGTTGAACCAAAGGTATTCGGCCTTAGAATGACTATTGCTGAGAACTAAAAGTATATGAGGTAAATCGGGTAATTTGTCTATATCAGTTTCCACCATTCTAATAATCATGTCATCTTCATTCCTCTCATATCAAGTAAACAGGACCCTTGATTCTATATTCATTCTTCTAACACCATAGATGGGACCCACGAATGAAATATAAATGGCTAAAACAAATGAAGCCTGAGTTTTTGCCCCATAGGATATAAGACTTCAAAACTTCATTATGTAGAAAATCTTAAAATTGGTTATGGACTCGACCCAAAAATGTAATTTTTACATCAATAATCCAAATTAGAGCAGTCTAAAATCATGTTGGGAGAAAAAAATTCATATATTATCCAGATTTCTATATGTTTCAAATAAAAAAAGGCATCCTCAGATACTCAACACCCCCCCCCCCCTTCCCTTAACAAGGATAATAGAGATCAACAAAGACATGCTTTTAACTCCAACAAAGTACTTGCCTCACAATCAAAACCAACAAACCCCAAAAATATATAAACAAAACTATAAACCTTAAGGGAGCGTTTGGTTTGATGGAATGGTTTTGAGGGATTTGGATTTCGTGGAAGGATTTGGAATCTTTGGTGCGTTTGGTTTGTAGGACTTGAATTGGAATTGAAATCCATTATTTTTAAAAACAAATTACAAAAAATTACAAAAATAATTAAATTACCTTTTTATTAATTGATTATTACACAATTAATGTTTTTAACAAATTTTGAAACGTTATTTTATACAAATGCTACGAAATCCCATGAAATACCAACCACCCCCATGGAATTTCAAAATCCTATGTTTGTGGGATTTCAATGAAATCCCGGGATTTCAAATCCATGAAATTCTTCAAACCAAACATGGGATTGAAATGGAATTCAATTCCAAATCCCTCCAAGTCCATTCCAATCCTACAAACCAGATGGGACCTAAGAGAATAATTGAATGATCATATCAATAAGAATATGCAAGCAATAAAGACTCCTAGACCCTTTTCAACAAACACCATGACCATGTTGCTTATCTCTAACAATACGAATGATGTAACATGAGAATCCACACAAAAAATATCATACAAATTGAAATGTTGGTCTACTACTCTACCATGATATCATACCTACATCACAGATGGATAATAGCAATTGAAATCTATGACAACAGGGTTTATGATAAAAACAAACCAATCAAATTTGTTGAAACTATAGTGTAACTCTCTCTAACACACATATAAAAACATCCAAAATCGAGTCACAGATGGCCAACAAGATGATACATCACAATTGGAGTTATCACTATTTTGAAATCCACCATGACCTAAACCCAACCAAACCACTTCTCGAAAGTAGAGTATAAGGAGTAAGATGTATACAACCTTACCTCAACCACTAGGAAGGCATCATAATGACCTAAGGTTGCCCAGGGAATACTCATAAAGAAAGATTCTTATCTGAACCTAGTGTTCCTAAACAAAATAGCCATGGCTAAAACAATAGTGGTAGTCTAAATGCACCCCTATGATTGCTATATGACCCGCTCCATAGACACCTCAACATCAGAAGTTCCTTTTGACATTTTCAATGTATGATTTGACTTGATTTTGATTTAAACAGTGGTGCATATAGCATACCCAAACAATAAGCCAGCTTGGGGGCTGTTTGGTTAGTTTTTCATCAAACTATCCGTGTGAATTAATCTGTCTGTCTAGATTGAGAAGGTTTTTGTTTCGGAGAGTATTTTGAGCATGTTTTTAATTGGGGGGGACGGGTTTAGGAAAAACTTGGCTTTCGCTCCCAGCTTACTGAACAAGACACTTCCTATATCATTAATTCACTAACCAAACGGTCATGTATAGCTGACCGAATAAGCTGCAAACTTGGCTTTCGCTCCCGGCTTACTGAATAAGACACTTCCTATATCATTAATTCACTAACCAAACTGTCATGTATAGCTGACTGAATAAGCTACAAGCTGCTAACAAACAGACCCTTGTATAGACTGCATCGAAGTTCAAAGAGTAATATTATTGCCGACTGTCAAGATGCATATAGATCTCAATGATTTACATTCCTCAGACCCAAACAAAGACAATTACACAAAGAATAACCTAAATTCAACCTAAACCCCAAATCCATATCGTTCTAAAAAACCAAATGAACCCCTATACTCGATCATACACACAAAGGGCCAGCAATTATCAAATAAATCTGCCAAAAACAGGAATTCGAGTTACAAAATCAGCACATCCGATTACAATGCACAATTACATCAATCAGAAACAAGAATGGAAAACCAAATCATCAAATCACAAAGAAAATGGATCTAAGAAACGTTTCCATGTTAATAATCATCGCGTAAAGGGGTCAAAATAAAGCTCAAAAAGAGGAAGAAAATTGGGGAGAAATGGGCATACCCGAATCAGAAGATGGTGCCGCCGATTACGACGGATCGCAATGAAATTGGTGGGGGTGAGATTTAACGATTAGCCTAATTGCAGGCACGGACTATAGCAGGCATCCACTGAAAATGGAAATTACTTTTTACAGAACAAGAAATCTTAAATTCAGAACAGCAATGGGACAGTGATGTGTACGTTGTGTTCTGGAAGTTGTATAGTTCTCTGAACCTCAAAATTTCAACGCTGGAAGAAAGAATTGCAATTTTGGCCGTTTAGTTGTCATGATAAATCATAGTTAAATAGCAATCAAATTT